TCGGTAGTCACTACACCCGAGGAGGTTGATACTACTAGTGATGGTCACGAGGAGTTCCTGAGGTACCTTCATCTAGCAGCCCAGTATCGGTGGAGCTCATCCGTACTGCTGCTGCATTGGAGGCTAGTCAGACTGCACTGGATCAGCCTGAGTCGACTCTCCCTCAGGGGCTGACCAGTGAGGGAGCATCCTTCGCTCTAGCCGCTAGTTCTGGCATCGTACCATCCCCTGGAGAAGGATCTACGCCGGTGCCTCCGGTCATGCAGACTATCATGACTATGACGTCTGGTGTTCAGCCTCAAGAAAGCGGCCCTGTCTACCAGACTGCTGATTCGGGAGGAGACTCTCCAGAAGCTGGCATAGCACTAGAGCCAATGGGTGCTGGAGCTCTCGTACAGCGATCATTGGGGCTTGCTGAGGTCTCGACACAGTTCGATATCGGTCTAGTGCCGCAAGTGACTGATGTGACAAGTGTTGACGAGGTGATCACTACAGATGAAGTGTTTATGGAGAAGCCAACGATTGAGGACTCTGTGGTGCTCGAGGAGGTCGTTGAGACCATATCTAGTGTGGCTGCTGGTGGAAGGAAGTTCCCCTATCTTTATGACCGTCCTCAGCTATATAATAGGACCGAAGAAAAAGCTGCTAATCTGGGGCATTTGCGGAAATTTCCGTACTTGTATGACAGGCCAATTTTTGAGGACAAGGATACTGTTGTGGCGTCATCGTCCACTAGCATCGCGAGACAGTTCCCTTACATTTATGATCATCCTGCTCTGGATGCACACTTATCCTTGGGAGAATCTTCTGAATCGCTTAGTACAAGGGTATTCCCTTATATCTATGATCACCCTCAGGTTGGAGCTTCCCGAACTGAGGTACCCTCAGCTCCTCTAACTAGTCGTAGACAGTTTCCATATCTATATGATGCCTCTGGAGAAGTTGCAGTCATTCCGCCCAGGGCTGAAGCCAAGGCAGATGTCAGTGAGTCCAAGCAAGTCCTGGTGAACGACCATGAGGATGAGCCTGTTCAGTCAGAGGCGGCTTATGAACTCCAGTCGGAGAATAAGGTTGCGAGTGGTTCATCTGTGCCCGCAGGGATGGTGGCTTCCGCAGCAGCTCCTATGGATGGCACTCATGATCAGAACGGTTATGACAGTGTTAGTCTTCAGCCAGCTGCATCGACTTCTGCTGATGATAGCTCCATCAAGAACAAAGTCTTCCCGTACCTGTACGATGAGATCGAGGTGCCTGCTGGGCACGCCGATGGGGGTATTCTGCTGGAGGCTGCTGCC